CACAGGTCCTCTTCCTTCTCTCAGTTGTAGCATGGTTTCAAAATACAAACGAACTCCAAACAGTGTACCCATAGCGGGAAACCCGTGATGTGTGCTGAGAGTTCCCATGCCCTCTCAAGTATGGATTAGGGCTACCCCGCACAGGTCTGCATGGGCATTACACCTTCGCCGACCCTCGCTTTCAAAAGCACTTTAAGAAAGCAGTGCAAAACATCCGTCAAGGCCGCTTGTGCGCGAGCTCCATGCAAGTAGCCCCCTCCTCATTGCTNNTGTGCTTTGTTACCATATGAATGGGTTGACAAGCAAAGAACTTTCACGCTCTGACCATGACACATGGTCGTTAACGGACTCGTCTCTGGCGAGGAGGACATGATACACGTTTGTGGCATTGCACACTCTATTGCGTCCTGGACGTAGCGCATTTGCAAAGTTCAGAGCACACGCGTTGTTCAGTACCAGGGAAGCTGTGACAGTGTCGACGTTCGCGACTGCGAGCTTCGTTTCTGGAAACCGCTGCCATGCCTCGCTTGACTGATGCACGAGGAGTCTGACAGTACTTGGTCAAGGGGTGCATGCTGACCCGAGCAAAATGTGCACATCATCCATTTGCTTGCCAACCTCCGGGGTGCAAAGGCACACCTCTTCGGTGGGAAGACGTGGCAGCGCCTGTCTGCCTCACGAATATGACATCGCTTCATAGCTGCCACGTGCGGCACAGGCTCTAAGTCCATGGTGTTCAAATGTTGGAGGACACAGCAATATGGACGCTGCGGCCTCCGTCATGGAGTGCGAATCCTCCCGACTTCATTAAGCGAGCATTTTCCAACGGCAATGACGAATACTGTTCGTCAGGAGCACGTGGTCTGTAGGCTTTGGTCTCCAATTGACGAACGATGTCAGGAGACCAAACGTATTGATGTCGCATGGGGTCTTTCCACAAGGCAACTTGCCCAATCACAACACCATCGTGTTGCAGGTCTGCACAAATGTGTCAATGCCTTACTAATGCTAGTTCACGGTGCTAGTTCATGCCATCTCTTGCTATGACAGTAGCTCGAGGCTTGCACCGAAACGGCAGCATGTACGAGCGACAGCTTGGTCCACGTGCTGAAAGTCAGCGCCATGAGCCTGTCCACTTGCTATCGAAACCTGAGCTTGAGTGAGCTTGCCTGGGAGCCCAGCCGAAAGAAGTGATGGGCAGCCGCTAAATCCCAAACGGAGGCCAGTCAGCGCACGAAGTGCTGAAATCCCCTGTCGATCCATCAAGAGATCATGGCGGTTTGGATGGAGCTGAACACCCAGCCTTTTATTTCGGACAGTTGTGCACTACATGCAAACACGGACCTCCCAGCAGACTTGACAAGGTTTCGTGGGCCTGCCCGAATGGGCGTGCTTCCGTAAGCTTGGGACTGCCACATCTGGGCGAACAGGAAAGTATGAGCAAGCAAACGCAAAGCACACTCACACATACATGTGCTGGGACACAGGCATCTGCAGGTCCAGCATACTCAGCTGATGCAGAAAAGGCACCCCTGAAAGTCAAGGCTTGAGCAGTTCAATGTGTGTGTGCGCGCGCGCGTGTGTGTGTGTGTGTGTGTGTGTGCGTGCGCGTGCGCGTGCGTGCGTGCGTGTGCGTGCGTGCGCGCGTGCGTGCGTGCGTGCGCCGGGACTGTCATCGCATATTCACACCGTTACAAGCTAGTTGCCGAAAGCACCGGCAAACCCTGAGGAGCTGCAATGCTGAGTTGCGCGGGCATAATTAAGGCTGCCAGCTCTGTTTGGGCTTCACTTGCAGTTTTCAAGAAAGATACTGCGTCGCAAATAGCTGCTCCCATCGCCTGTGCATTCCGAACCCCTCCCACTGGACAAGTTGGAAGAGAAGTAATTACCAACCCAATATTCACTCCGAACTCAAATTCACTAGTGGACACAGAGTGCTAAGCTTGTTTGCTTGTCCTTTCTTCCATTTCGCAGCGCGCATCATGATTTAAATCAAAGGTTTCGACATAATTACTAGGCTCTCGACTCTGCAAACCCGTAAGCATGCATGCTGACTCAGGGAAGGTTTCCAAATACGGATGCACTCTGGACACCACAGCCAACTGACGCAAATCGAGTAGTGTCCACGTAGCGAGATTGTCTTCTGATTTGGTCCGCTGCGTGAAATAGCGAGATTGCCGTCATTGCAGTGTCCGGCTGCCATCGTGGAGCCGTAGAAGAGGTAGTGCGCAAAGAGCTTTCTCTGCATAGGCTTCGATGAAGTCCCACCAGGGCCAGGATGAGCTCGCCAAGGGAGCTTCGCCAGAAAGCCCCATCAAGTCGTCCCAAGGAAAAGCGCATCCGGCCTGGAAGCCACAATCAACAGTTGAGTAGTGGCGGCAAGCTACAGCAACGACAGGTTACAGGTTCGTTGCCAAGAATCCATCTCGCCGAAAGCGAACCTTTCCTTGTGTATCGTGCCGGCAGGCCGAGAATGCAATCATTTGGCGATAAACTGCAGATGTGGTGAACCTACACTGACCTATGTTCACACATAAAGTCTGGCGTCTTTTGAAGATGGACACATAGACACCGCTGTCCTGAGTCCGAGGAAAATTCCCAGTAACATTCCTCTGCCTCCACATCGCAACCAGGACGTCCAGCCAACAGGGTTGCCTCAGCTCCGGCTTTGTTCTGCTGCCATCTGCTGCCTAACATATCAACTTCAACTTCCACTCGATATCTTCTGACAAGCTTCTCCACACACTGCTATGCAGACATAGGCTTCTTGAAAGACATAGCTGACATCCTTGGTCTCAACATCATCCGCCACAGGAACCATCACCAGCACCTCAGCCCCATTGCCTCAGCAGCCACATGCGCCCCGGACGAACACCCTCAGGCGCCAACTGATGGCCTTCATCCTGAAACACATCCAACATAGCTAGACGCAAAACACACAGCGTTCGGAAACAAGATGCGTTTCCACGAGTACTTCCCATCTGGACTCGCACCACCAGAACCTAAGTCTTCCCGCCCATAGCCTGGAACGGGGTCCTGACCATGTCGTATGTCGTATTTGGATGGGATGGCGCCGGCTACAGAAGCATGAAGCATTACAGCATGCCGAACAGGAGAATCCGAACTCAATGCACAGCATTATCCACAACCTGCCTGTGCAGTCGCTGAATTTGCTGGAGCTTTGATCACGTCCAGAAGACGGATGTCGAATGTGACCGGAGTATCTGGCGGCACCTGCCATCCCCTTTCATCACGTGCACCAAAGGAGCCGTACGCCACTTCCGACGACAGCTGAAAAATGGCACGCCTCAGATGGCTGGAAGATGAATGTATGGCCGAATGCAAAGCTTGAAAACCGTCTCCGGAGCATCAGCAAAACCACTGCCAAAGCACTCGCCCTTTCGCATCGTCGCGACGCCTTCGTCGAAGCCTTGCGATGAAGAAGATTGAGGAAGTATCACAAGGAACGTACGCATTGCAGCCGCAATCCCCGCTCCCAAGAGGCCTTCCAAGACATGCTCTGCTCCCAGTCGAAACTTGAAAGGCTGATCACGCTTCGTTGTGTCGTTGAAAATGCTTCCATCTGGCAGAGTGCCCACGAAGTGCGTGACACAATCGTCTCCAAAGACTGGAAATACTGCCGGGTCCACGCCCTCCTCTACAATGCTCTTCATGACGCTTCCATCTCCGAGAATGTCGCCTGAGTCAAAGCTTGTGCTGATGTCTCTGAGTTCTTGTCCAGAAGAGACCATGTCGTTCTCGTCTTTCACTGCTTTGTACACATGCCCGAAGGAGCCCTTCGATCTGCCCTTCCTGTGCAGAGCTAGAACTGTAGCCGTAGCCTATAATGGCAGAAGCTTTGACACATGAAAAGTCCGGAAATCTTGGCCTGGTTAGGAAGATTCCGATGAATGCAGCATGCATGCTGCTCGGAGGCTCCTCGCAGCTCGGCCGTCTTCCAAAGTCCTTGAACAGCGTGCCGAAGGCATCCAAACCATGTTGAGACACGCAGTGAGACACGTGGCATGGCAAACGTGCCACAGGCGGGGCAGTTGCAGCTTTGAACGGACGGTTCTCCATTGCTAAGCTTTCCTTCGCCGGTGGTTGAGCCGACATGTCGGCGAACATCAAGTGACAGAATCCCTCCCCCCGCGCACTTCACGACGGTGAGTCAGCCGGCCGGCCTTGTTGCAAGTCTTCTGCCGTGCTCGTTTTGGTGCATCCTGTCAGAGAAACCTGAAAAGATCGTCAACACTTCGAAGCCCTGCCACTCAAGCTGCTGGTTGCGTTCTTCGTGAAGGAGTTTAGTGACATTCCGCTATGCACTTTTTCAGTTTTGCCCAGCGAAAGGGATGGCCTCCTGCATGAAAGCCAGACTGTCGTGTCCGGGCGCCGGGCTCTCAGTGATTTGATCGTGCGAAGACATTCCACGCCTTTCAACCCGTTTCAACCAGCCATCAACACCGACTTGACTGGTTTTTTCAGGTGTCGAGAAGGCTGAAGTGCAGACTTGGAAATCCGCCGACGAGCATCTCGCGACATTCATGCCACCCTGCTGTCATAGCGAGTGGCTTAGCAGGGCTCGGGAGAAATCCGCAGTGCCAGCATCCGATCGCCAGGCTGAGGTGCCGGCGTGTCGAGAAGGCGAAGGACCAGAAAGCGTCCCCTGCCCCCAGCCTGGGTGGCAGGTAGCGGAGACCGCACAACGTGAATCAACGATATGTGACAAGCTAGTACTAGCTCCTGCAAGATAGCAATGCAGGAAGGCAGCGTTCCGTGCTTCATGGTCCGACGCACGAAATCCACGAAGGGCTCGTGCCAAGTGTGCCCAACCTCGGCTAGGGTTTGAGCCAATGGTATGCAAATGGTTTTGAAAGATGAAAGGTCAGTAGTCAGTTCGGCATGATCATCAACCAGTGTCCCTTCGAGCACTCAGATCATCACAAACCACGCAGGTAGCTGCCCGTACTCCTTGACATTTTCAGAAAGGAGTTCCAAGCCCACATGTCCCACCTGCCGCCCGTGAGTGCGAGCGACAGTCAATTCTTGACAGCACACGACAGCACGATTGTCTCCCCAAGCAGATAAGATCTTGCTTCCATGCATCGGGCGAATTAGCATGTGGCGCAACAGGTCCTCCTTCGCCACTGCCTCCACATAGCCTGATTTCGCTTGGGTTTCGAGCTTCGACCAACTATCGCCCTGAAACATTGACTGAAAAAGCGACATTGAATTCCAAGCTCTGCTCTGCACTGCAGCCTTGTGGTCACCTGCGACACACTTTTGAATATCCCCAAACATGTTGCCAAGCTGATATGCTGAGAAGCTGGGCTTCTAACTGGCTCAATCAACCAGTGGTGGAGTTGGGCCAATGTTAGCTTCCTTCCATGAAGTCCGTCATGCGACAAAGAATCCATTCACAGGTGCACCACTCACACATCAGTGCCGATCCTGTATTCGAGTTGTTCGCCAGTCCTAAAGGCACAATACCACAGCTATACTTGCCGTGCTACCCTCTGAACACACAACGTCCAGCATGCCTGCTGTCGTACCACCCTCTGATTACACCGTTGCCATCGCAGCCTGACGCATACCCGCAATGCGTGGACATGCATGCCGTTCCTGCAAAAGGTCAAGCACTCCATCATCACCCTCTTGGAAGCGGACGCTTCTTGACAAAAACCTTGGCAAAGAAACATGCAATGCTGGGTTCCCTTTTTCCCCTACCAATCACCAAGGGCCAACTGGGCGACAAGACAACTGCAGACAGATAGATGTAAAGAGAAATATGTATGGAAAGGGCGAGAAAACACAAAGCAGAAGACAAAACAAACGGATCACACTCGAGGCTTCGACTTGGACGAACCAGGGAAGACGAGACAGAGAGAGTGAGAGGGAGGGAGAGGGAGGGAGAGAGAGGGATGGAGAGCGAGAGGGGGAGAGAGAGAGAGAGAGCAACCATAGAGAGCGACAGAGCAAGAGCGAGAGTGAGTTGCGTTCGTGCTCCTCTCTTCGTGCTTCCCCGTTTCAACGGAGAGACAACTCTCCTCCACTGAGACACAACACAACAGAGTAAGATAGATTGGGGCGGCATTCTTTCTTAGTAGCACCTCCAGGAGTAGACGACGCGAGAAGTGATGGGACCACAAGGCCATTCAGGATGTCCCCCCCTCACGTGATTTTTGGTGTCCGTCTCCACTCGTTTTCAGCAGCCTCATGTATGTTCAGTCTTCTCTTCTGCTCGACGTCTGCTTTGCCAACATTTTACTTTCGCTGCAAGAAGAACATGGACAAGCCCATCGGGCAACCAGAAACATGAGAAGGGAGTCGCATGTCTCGGTGCCTCGCACGGCAAGGGAGAGCTCCAAAACGTTTTACTGTCGCTGCATTGACTCCAGCAAAGCCCAAAAAATAAGACCACTGCGCAACAAAAACATCGCAAAGGAGAAAAGCAGACTCGTTGTAAGTCGATGTGTGTTGACGCGATCCTGTCTTCAGTCTCCTTTCTTGTGCTGATACTCTACGACCTAGATGCACATGATATTCGCCCTTACCATGTCTACCTCGCAAAACTGCGATATCCGGCCGTCTTCGTGCCACAACATCGCAGCTACTTCACGGCTGAATGCTGTCCAAACCAATTTGGCAAAAGGCTGCCAGACAACATCGACATGTGCCGCTGTCCACGCTGTTTGCTTGTGTTTCTTGCTCAAGAACATTTTGAGGACATGCTATTCTTGAAAACCCTACAACTTCCTCTTGTTATTGGCATCGGGGTCGTCGTAGCGTCGCAGATCTGTTCTGCACGGCAATCTCTGGCGAATCAAACAATGTAAAGGGCCACGCACGCATGCAGATGTGGGCCCACACGCGAACATTGAACAACTCCCACTCAGCTGCGAGCTAGAATTTTCTTGAGCTGGTCAAAGGTGATTCCGCGCTTTTCAATTTTGTCAATCCTGCACGAAGCGACCCATGGATATCTCATCACCACACTTAATGTGGCTGCCTGATGCCCGGTCCACTGCGGGTCAGCTCAGAAAAGTCAAGGTCTCGAGGCCTGCACTTGCTGGCTGCAAGTTCCCCCGCCGCTGTGACACTGTCGCGCCTCAATCTTCCAAGGCTCGACCATTGTTCCACCGCGTGACCTTCGAGAAACGCAACTGCAACGGACAAACAGTGCCAGTCTAGGTGCTCAGGCCTCGCGCAGGACGTGGTCTGACGAGAGGGCTAAAGCTTATTTCCTCTTCGTCTTCCTGCCAGCATGGGCTTGTTGCTGAATCCAGAACTGCACCAGACCTGCTTCCGCAAAAAATGTCTGTCCGGCCTCTCCTGCCTCGTTCATCGCCCAATTTGCCTCCGGCAGCTTCCTGTCTACACAAGCCAAGGCAAGTTGTAGCAATGCATCACGCTCTGAGGCACAAACGAAACTTGATGGCCGACCTTGTATGCAGCGCATGGAAGCCAACAAAGGAGCAGTCGAGTGTTTCACAGAGTCTTAAGGAGCCGTCATCGTCGTCCACACAACGACCTCGTCTAAAAAGGCTTTTTAGAGAGTCCCCTCGTTTGCGCCGTCAAGTGCAACAGAACTTGTACGTGTGAGGATCAAGCAACAGCATCCAAAGTCAGCCAACAGGTCCTGACTCTGGCGTGGAATTCTGCTGGTTGGTGAAGGATCCAACCGCTGACTTCAATCCCACAATACAGCATGTTGTCCTGCTGTGACCCGGCCATGGCCCAAGCCACATGGGGTGAAGCGGGACACAAAGCAAATACACGTCCGCGATTCAACACACTTTGCTAAATCCGTCTGCTGCTGCACGTGTACAGTTGCCGTGTGTGAGGACGCAAGCGAAATGTTCAACTTTAAGTTGAGATCGGGACAGTTCACTTGCAAGGCTTCTTGATGACATGCTTGCAGTGCAGCAAGTATTTGGTTCCAAAAGTGCTTTTTCTCCAATGCACCACACCACGATGCTCGCAACCAAACGACGAAGTCCTCCGGACGCCCTCAGTTGCGAGACTGCGATTGATGTAAGCATGTCGAGACATGAAGTCATGGCACATCTGATCCTTGTCGGTTGCACTGCGGGAATACTGAGGCAAGCTTGCAAGCACCATTATGGGTGAAACATACTGTGAGCTTCGTCACACGTGAAACATTTCACAAACTTCGACGGCGGAAGCAACCTCAAGTACAGTTGAAGTCAACTTGCCACCACAACGCACAGCAAGGTACAAATTAAGTTCCAGGCAAAAGCCACGTTTTTGGTTTTGTGGGGAAAGCGGTGGGTTTGCAGGCCCAGCTTTGCCGGCGGCGGATATGACCTGGTTGCAAACAAGCCAAAAACAAAAATCCTTGTACAACTTGCAACTCTCAGTTCTCAGCTCCTCGTCCTTCTTTTTGAGCAGCCTGCAAAAAAAGAAAGAACGGTTTCTTAGTTAACACTTAATCCATGCTTTGCATCCACAGGCCTTTTGCGATCTCCAACTTTGTTGTGTCGCAGCTGCAGTGGTGCCTCAAGTATTCGATGTCGACATGTCGATTGCGTGCAACTTTGCAAGGATCTTTGTGCCGAACTTGTAGTAGCCGCTGCTGGTGACGGTGACCGGGCTTTGGCTCTGACTGCTGGCGATGGCGGCACATCCTGCAAGAAGTATTGGGGCAGTTCAGTGCCTGATGCCTGTGGATGCGCATGACAACCTGGCGCTGCTGACGCTACGGAATGAATGTGCAGTAATGTCATCTGTGGAGGTTTCCTCACAGAGAAAAGTTTGTATTCTATGCGGCATGGGTGGGTGGGCAGACTAAGGCAGCGGGAGTTCCAAATTTGAGTGGTGGCCAAACATCGATCTTGCTGCAGCACCTTGTGCCTCTTCTAGGCGCCAGGAGTTCCGATTGTGCGGGGCAAAGAGTGCAGCACGTCAGCTTGCGGCGTTGCAGTCGGAACGGAACAGTCGGCTTTTAGGGAGATAGGACCTGGTAGGAGCTCTGATTTAAGTCCTCAAATTCAAGGTTGTTTTGACGGGAGTTCGGCCCAAGTTCGGTAGGTCGGCTCTTAAGCCAAATCTTGGAAGGAAGACCTAACGACGAGCGAATCCGTCTCGAAGTGATGGTACACATCGCGAATCGCGGCCATTGTAACGATCTTGTTCCCCACCAACTGCGAGAGCGACAGGCGACAGTCGCAGCACGTATTGTTCAAACATGAGAACAGCTCGATAAGGCTTGGTCGGAGGGTCGGAAACGTCAGCGTCGCCATGTACCCAGAGAACCCAATAGTCCATTCAGGAAAGAACCCTTAAAAATTCAACTCTAATTAGAGTTTATAGTCCTTAAATTTAGCGGCCTTAATTACGGTCGATTACCTTCCTTAATTAAGGCTTATTTTTCCCATATATATATATATAAGTATATGTAATATTTATTAATATATATATATATATTTGTATATATATATATATTACATAGACTTTTTATCATATTATACTTAATTGCATATCATGCATGCATATATATTATCGATCATATGCATGGGTGCAATGCATCCCTCCTATGTAGATCGGAGGAGGGATCGCGATGCCTGTCGTGCAAGCTTTGCATGCATGGCACGAAATGCATGTCCTTTGCAATGATTTTTCCTGCTGGCATATTGCATGCTGGTCGTGCACGAGATCCTGCCACTTGTTTTTTCGGTTCAATCAGTGTAGGGCACGTGTACAGAAGGCAGAAAAAGAAACGAAAGCCGACTTTTGCCCTTGCAATGCCGGGAGCAGATGAGGAGGGGTGCTTGTGCCATAAAGATTATATATTTTATTCTTCAGCGGCCCAT